CACCTCATGTGAAGAGTTGACTCATTGGAAAAGACCCTGATGCTGGGAGGGATTGGGGGCAGGAGGAGAAGGGGATGACAGAGGATGAGATGGCTGGATGGCATCACTGACTCGATGGGCATGAGTTTGAGTAAACTCCGGGAGTTTGTGATAGACAGGGAGGCCTGGCATGCTGCAATTCATGGGGTCGCAAAGAGTCGGACACAACTGAGTGACTGAACTGAACTGAACAAAACTGATAGGGGGATATTTCTATATACAAATATTAATTTACAATAGGCCATAGACTTAAACATAAAAGCTGGAATAAGGCACAGTTCATAACAGTACATACATAAGACAAATTCTCCATGACCTTGGGATAAGCAAATGTGTATATATATATACACATATATTTTTAGGACACGGAAGACACTATCCATGTGACAAAAATTGATAAGTTGGGCATAATCAAAATTTTAAATGTCTGCTAATCAATCGGTGATTTTAAAAATGAATAGGCAAACCTGGAAAAATTCTTACCTTACTTCTTTCTGAAAAGGAACTGCCCCTCCCAAAGAGACTAGTAAGGTGAGAATTATCAGCAGACATTTGAAATTTTTTTTTCAGTTTTATTTATTTATTTATTTTCTTTACAATATTGTATTGGTTTTGAATACATTGACATGACTCCGCCATAGGTGTACATGTGTTCCCCATTCTAATTTTTTAGTTTCTTTTATTATGGAGCTAGGGAAGAGATTATTTTCAATTCCCTGTTATGATATCCCATGTATTTGCTATAGAAAGATTTCATATTTGGCTTTATGCTTTCAAGTAGTTAATGCAAAGAAGGAAATAAAATCAGTTCCAAAATATCCTGTGTTCATAAATCAGAAAAGCCTCTGTCATTCTAGGTGGTAGTGAATCTGGAGAGAATTTACTCTTTATAGCAGTGGTCCCCAACTTTGTTGGCACCAAGAACCAGTTTCATGAAAAACAATTTTTCCATGGAGGGGGTGGTGAGGAGGGGGGAGGGGGGATGGTTTAGGATGATTCAAGCACATTACGTTTCTTGTGCACTTTATTTCTATTATTATTACATCAGGTCTACCTCAGAGCATCAGGCATTAGATCCCAGAGGTTGGGGACCTCTGCTTAAGAGAACATAGAATGAAATCCACATTACAAGAAAATGTCTTAACAAGTTGTCACTATTTAATGAATTCTTACTCTGGTCTAAATACTTTTATTTTTCACTTGATTAGCACAGAAATACAAGGAGTTTGGTATGATTATTCTCATTTCTCTCATATGAAATAACTTTTAGAATTGAAAATAACAAATATAATGACAATTGGGTAATTGAGTAAAATACGCCAACAAAATCGGCAATATTGAGATGATAAAAATTAAGCATCTGGTTGAATAAACTCTAACACACTCTGGCAGAGTGAGGAAGATTTAATACCGGTGTTCCAGTAGAGATGATCTGAGTGTCTGTTAAGATTACATGAAAATTTAATTCTAAAACTTTCAAAATATGTTCAAAATATGTAATATAGACAAAGAATAAGGAGAGAGGATGAGAGAGTGAGAGAGAGGAAGAGTAGCTAGAAGATGCTGGACCACAGTGGAGAAGGACTAGCCAAGGGAGATGGAACATGAGGTCAGGAGTCCCGGAGCTTGAGGCTGAAAATCCCTGGGCATTTTGTATGCACCAGGAATCAGGGACACCCAAGTAAGTTAGAGTATGATGCCTGAGGTCTGAAAGCCCTCTGCTATAGTACTATTTTTGGAGCTCAGTGTCTGGTACAGCAGCATGACCCAGTTAGGAGAAATTCGGGTACACAACACAGGATGCATTCGCCATCAAAGCAAGCACTATTACCCCTGGGAACTCAAGGATGCCAAGCTTGGAGTTTTCCTGGGGAGTCGGCTTGGCGCCGGTGGCATGTGGTACCTTACGTGTTTCCAGAACTTGGAATTCAGGGACTGCTTGTTGGCCACGTTGTCCTCCCTCCACTTGATGGTCCCCTGAACTTTGATGAGATGCTTCAGGGAGTCCTGAAGCTCCTCAAGCTGCAGGCCGCCAGGCTGGCACAGAGCCTCCATTTCAATGAGGATGGCCTTGGAGTCCTGCTGAATGAGGGTGCTGTGCAGGGCGATCTCCCGCTCGTAGGTGAACTCCTTGCTGTGCACGATCTCGGGAGTGAGGATGAAGAGGTGCCGCCTGCTCATCCGGATGCTGGTTTCCACTGTGCTGGCTACATCTAGTGATAAAAGACACGGCGGGAGAGGTAAGGACCCGCACGCCGCTGTCACCGCGCCAGTCAAGCCCTCTTCTCTCCCAGGCAGAGCAGTCCAGAGCTCTTCAGCTCAGGGGGAACCGACAGTTACATAGCAGGAGACTTGGAATTCAGGTTCATTGTCTACACGTTGTGGCTTCCCTGGTAGCCCAACTGGTGAAGAACCCGTCTGCAATGCGGGAGATCCTGGTTCGATCCTTGGTTTGGGAAGATCCCCTGGAGAAGGGAACAACTACCCACTCTAGTATTCTTGCCTGGAGAAGTCCATGGACAGATGAATTATCTACACATTATCTTCCTAGAATATTAGTTTACGTGTTGCAAAAGGACTTAGAATTATTAAAATGTTTTGATTTTTAATTGGAGGATAATTGCTTAATAATGTTGTGTTCCTTTCTGCTGTACAACAACATGATTCAGCCATAAGTATGCACATATCGCATCCATCTTGAGTCTCCCTCCCAACCCCGCTTCATCCCACCCTCTAGGTCATCACAGGGCTCCCAACTGACTTCCCTATGCAGTATAGCTACAATATCCATTGTAATGTGTATACTTCCATGCTACTCTCTCTCTGACTTAGAATTTTAACTCTTATTAAACAGCACAAACTCAGGAACCTTTGCTTCTCTGAACTGACTCAAGTCTCAGGAAGTCTTGGATCCACTTTGCTCCCCACCCCCAGGCCCCCACCCCCACCCCCCGTAATCTCTATTGTAGAAGCTACTTTGATTCAAACTAGGAAAATCTTAAGGAAGATGAGATCCTTTGTCAAGCCACTGTTTGTGGACCATCAGCTCTACGGTGATTTCCCTTAACTTCTGAGTGGAGTGAAAACATGTAAAACACGCAGCTGTCAGAGCAAGGAGGGAACTGTGATGGAGGAACAACCATGAAAAAAAAAAAAACAAGTCCAGACATTCTTAGAGAGCAGGGGCCAAAGACTGCCAGTCCACAGGGTTGGAAGCAGGAAATAAATGTCAATAGTGCCAGCCAGAGACCTTGTGTCAGTAGATCCTAACAGAAATCTCAGAATACTTGAAAGCACTGAGTAGAGAGAGTTTAATGAAAGGACAGTTGATCAAAGATGTGGGCAGAGCCAAGGGAAATCAATGAGAGATGCTCAGACCTCTACAACTGGTGACATCAGAGAGTGACAGTCACCCTCCAGGTGTGAAAGTGGGAACGGTTATGGAGCCCGAGGTGTGTACCTGGAGGACCAGCTCCAGTGCTCAGCAGGGAGAAGCACGGCCACCTGGGCTACCCCACCCGGAGGGGACCAGGGATACACCCTGCCCTCTGAGCGCCTGCCTGCATCTCCCATTGGCCACGCCCGGTGTGAAGCAGATGATGCCTTCCATACAGATCAGTCCCCGGGCCACTGGACGGAGCAGGGCGGTGCAGAGCGGGCTTATCAGGGCAAATGGCAGGTGACCGTCATGAGAAGAAATGCACCTCAGGGGCCAGTTATGAACTTTTTCTAAGGGAAAAGTGAATTTGGGTGTTGGTTTTTAATTTATTTTGGTTGAGGTGAGATCAGAGGACATGGGCTTCCCAGGTGGCGCTAGTGGTAAAGAATCAGCCTGCCAATGCAGGACACATTAGAGATGCGGTTTCCATGCCTGGTCAGGAAGATCCCCTGGAGAAGGAAATGGCAACCCACTCCAGTACTCTTGCCTGGAGAATTCCGTGGACGGAGGAGCCTGGCGGGCTACAGTCCATGGGGTCCACAACTAGCCAGTGGGGAGAGCTGGAGGAAGAAGGGTGCCTTGGGAGAGATGTGGGTTGCATCTTCCAGAATTGTATACTCTACCGTTCTCCCAAGCTGGTACTAGGCCATTAACATTACCTAAATATTTCAGGATAAATCAGATTCACCTGTGATGTGTTATTTACTTCTTTTTAAAAAAATAAATTTATTTATTTTAATTGGAGGCTAATTACTTTATAATATTGTAGTGGTTTTTGCCATACATTGACATGAATCAGCCATGGGTGGACATGTGTCCCCCATACTGAAGCCCCCTCCCCGCTCCCTCCCTATCCCATCCCTCAGGTTGTCCCAGTGCACCGGCTTTGAGTGCCTGTTTCATGCATCGAACTTGGACTGGTGATCTATTTCACATATGGTAATAGACATGTTTCAATGCTGTTCTCTCAAATCGTCCCACCCTCGGCTTCTCCCACAGAGTCCAAAAGTCTTCTTTATATCTGCGTCTCTTTTGCTGTCTTGCATGTAGGCATCTGAATCCCTCTTTGTGGTAGGAATGCCAGTTTAAACTCACGGTCTATGAAACGAACCCTCCCTCATTCCTGTTCCAAATGCTTCCTGGTCCCTGAGGAATTCGAGTAGCATTAGAAGGAGGGTTTCCAACGTGCCTTTGTTCAGGACCCTGTCCATCTGGGGGTAGCTACAGGAAGGAGGAAATTAACACATCCCCTCCCTGAGGCTGGCCATTCTAGGAGATATTTGAAAGATGAATGGGCTTTTTACTTGGCTTTCTCACCTCCCCCACCCATCTCTGTTCTATAAAAGAACCTGGCATCCAGACCCCAACAAGGTGATTATTTTGAGACGTTATTTAGGGAAAGAAGAAACACTACTGAAATGCTAGAATTGTGACCCAACTGTCAAAAGCACGTGAAACTGACTAGGAGTATTAAGAAAGAGAAGACACAGTTCTATCTGTTCTTGTGAGGACATAAATTTGCAAATGTTTCTTCAGTGTCAGGAGAGTTATAGAAACTTTAAGTCCCTTCAAATATGTTAGCCAGTGCCTCTGGATAGGAGAATATAATTCTTGGGATGTTAAGTCTTTCAGATCTAGACAGACTTCAGAGATTTCAGTTCTCCTCGTGGTGGACACGGGAAGTGAAGCAGGGGCGGGTGGACGTGCTCAGTTGCTCATCACGTCCAACTCTTTGTGACCCCAAGAACTGTAGCCCGCCAGGCTCCTCTGTCCACAGGATTTCCCAGGCAAGAATACTGGAGTGGGCTGCCATTCCCCTTTTCAGGGGATCTTCCTGACTCAGATCAAACCAGTGTCTCCTGTATCTCCTGCATTGTCAGGTGCACTCTAACCACTGTGCCACCAGGGAAACCCGAAGTAGGGGCTGGGCCTGCCAGATTCACAAGCAAGGATGTCTTACCCTGTCTTCACATCACTGCCACTCCTGTGAAGACCTCAGGATCACAGTGGTGATGGGGACAGGAGAAGAAAAGAAGTACTTCCTTCTTCTGGAGAAGTATTTATAAGTTCTGGTCCTAAGACCTGGAATAATGATCGCAACTCCTGATTCAAGAGCTCATCACTTAGCTTTCTGAAGAATGAGAGTTTCTGGCCCTGATGGCTGTGGATAAGTTTACCTTGTCCAGGGAGCAGGTCTCTCCCATAGATGCATAAGTTGTAACCATATTTATTTTCAAGAACATCGGGCAGAATCTGGTGAACAAAGTACTCCACAGAGCTGGCCCCCTCTGGACTGTTTTTGCAGCTTCGTGGATAGATCACATAAGCATCATAGATCTTCCCATCTGAGCATGAGAACAAGGAGCACAACGTTATTAACTGGTCCTTAAAAAATTCTCATTTTACTCTTGATAGACATTTCTCTTGGAATTTTAGGATTATTGGTGAAGATACCACATCCCCTCAAATATTCTAGAATCCAGAGAGGATGACAACAATCTACTGTCCCCAAAATGTCATCAGGAAGTGACTTCCCAGGTGGCACAGTGATACAGGATCAACCTGACAATAGAGGAGATGCAAGAGACTTGGGTTTGGTCCCTGGGTTGGGAAGACCCCCCTGGAGCAGGAAGTGACAATTCACTGCAGTATTTTTCCCTGGGAAATCCCATGGACAGTGGGGCCTGGCAGGCTACAGTCCATGGGGTCACAAAGAAGTCAGACATGACTGAGCACACACACAGTACAGTCATCAGGAAACTAGTCTTAGTCCCAACATTCTCCTTTTTACTGTCTCAGACTTGAACAGAGTTCAAGTTGTTCAGATTGAACACAGACAAGTGCCTGACCAGTTTAGTTCAAGCCATATTGTCCTGTTTGATTAATAATATATTAATAAGTATTTATAGTCACAGATAAGGGATTTTTTTTTGCTGTGCCAGGCAGATTTAAATTTTAGTTTTTGTTTTCCCCATGGGGCAGTGAAAATGCTAAAAGGTAGTTTCTTGGTGGCAAGGGAGGAGAAATGTTTAAGGGGTCTGAATTTCTCACAAATCAAACAATTAGCTGTAGTTGAGTGACTCATATGGAAAATCTAAGTTTTATCTGCCTCCGAATAAAAGAATGGTGTTCATATTTAGCAGGTATAACTGCTTCCTTTCATGTGTATACATACGTAGGGAGGTAAGACTCTTTATGGAACAGGGTTTCTGGTAAAAATACACCTACAATCTCATGGACCTTTCTAACATGTTCACCTCTGGAAAAGACGAAAAACTTTGTAAATGTTTGACTTCCGTAAAGTTTTACCAGTACAAATTTCCCCAAATGGTCTTTCTGGGCTGGGAGCAGATTCTGTTATTGAGGAATTAGTAAGAACAGCAGTTCTACTGGGAAGAAAATTGGAGCCGTTTAGGTGAATTTCAAAACCACAAGGAATGACCAGACAGGATGAAGAGTGTCCTCTGAGTACTCAAAAAGATTTATTGATAATATGCTAATAGTAAGCAAGAGAAAATCTAGGTTTAGTATCATAACTATTAAGAGATTATTAGAAGCAAACAACAGCCAGTATAGAACCTTTTCTATTAAAGAAAATTTGAAACTTGCCACTTACCATTCCTAGTTTTGGAAGGTCTAGCTATGTCTCTCCAGAACAGAATAATCTCAATCCAGAACACTTTTAGAATTATCACCAAGCCATTGATTAGTAATAACAACAGGCTAAATCCTGCAAGCATGTAGTAGGTACTTTGTTGATCCACTATTCAAAAGATGGGGGAGGAGAAACATGATCATTATTATTTCTAAAACAGAAGAAAATAAAAAAACACATGGGTGCTGCCATCCATTGGGAGGACAAGAAATTCGCACAAGGACTGCCTATGTGGAATTCTCGTGGCTGTTTCAAGAATCAGTAAATTAATGGTTATTGAGCCTCTATTCTGTGCAAGGCACCGGGTTAGGCATTGTAGGGGATTTTCAAAGCATAAGACATACAGTTGTTCTTGCTCAGTCAGGTCTGACTCTGCGCCCCCATGGACTGCAGCATGCCAGGCTTGTCTGTCCTTCACCATCTCCTGGAGTTTGCTCAAACTCATGTCCATTGAATCAGTGATCCCACCCAACCATCTCGTCCTCTGTTGTCCCCTTCTCCTCCTGCCTTCAGTCTTTCCCAGCATCAGGGTCTTTTCAATATAAAAGATAAAGAGACACATGTAAACTTAGCTAAGATAGGAAGTGAAAGCATCAGTTTTAGCTCAAAGAGGTTTTAGGAAGGTGTACCCACTGTGTGCTGGACTAGCAATTGGAGACTTCCTGCGGAATGAGGTCCCTGGAAGATGAGTGAGATTCAGAGAGTTTCAAAAGAAGAAATGCGCTCCTGGCACGCAAGGATGCTGTGATCCCAAGGGCAGCAATGGGAGTGTGTTTTCTGAGGAAGACAGATACTCTAATCTGGGGAATTGCTGGAATACATGATTGGAAAGCTGGCTCTAGGCCTAGGTTCTGATCAGACTGGAGGGTCCAGCTGAAGCATTTTGTCTCTGTCCTGGTTGTGGGAGCCACTGAAGAGTGTTGAGTGGTTCCTTAACAATAAAGGTGGTTTTCAAGCAAGATTAGTCTGATGGCATGAAGTTTTGTTTCCGTGGCCAATAGACCCTCGGAGTAGAATGAGATGAGAAGTTTCTGCAGCATGGGAGGGGCCAGATTTGTGTAATAAGGAGAAAGGAATGGACAGGCTTGGCATTGGTGGCATCAGGGAGAAATAATCAACAGGTCTTTAGAGACTTATCACATCTGGGGTTGGTGACACAGGAAAGCAAAGGGAAAAACAAGAACTTTGTAAGTCTCTAATGAGTGTTTGATGAAGTCAAATTACTGGGGTTTGGGTCCTAAATACACCATTATTTCCCTTCTGTTGAACATTTTTTAGCCACTGCTGCACCTTTACCTTTACTCATTGCTTCACAACATATATACGCAAGATGGTCCCCATATAGACTGTATCAGATATATACAAACTGAATGTAAGGACTGTGCTCATCAATAGTAATTTTGGCTGTTGTAAGTTTACTTCCCACTTTAAAATTGTTAACCATCCTATCTTACAAATAGTCCTACTTAACGATAAATGTGAGGAGACTCAAATGAGATTTGGCTGTATAGTTCCCTTTTCATTTCCATCTGATCTCAAAACATAGACTCCCAGTTTTGCCAAAGAAAATCACTGGTTCAGATTTGCAAATTCTTTCATTAGTTCATCAGCTTCCTGACTATCTAGCACTATGAAATCAAGAATTACCAAGGTGGGGAATTCCCTGACAGTCCAGTGGTTAGGACTCTGCACTTTCTCTGCAGGGGGCACAGGTATGATTCCTGGTCAGGGAATTAAGATCCCACATGCCTAATGGCACAACCAAAAAAAAAAAATTCTTTTTAATAAAAAAATTTACAAAGAATGAATAAAGTGAGCTGATTAAAAACTGAAAATTGGCAGTGAGCCTAGTATCTGTCTGGTCATCAGTTTAAATGATAAATATTCCCTACGTAAATTATTTCAACTTGATTCCTCTCCAGGTCACTTTTTCTAAAAATAATATTTGGACATGCGCTGGGAATCCCAATTTCTTGCACAATATGCATGTGACTGGTTTACAAGCAGAAAGAAGTTAATTCAAGACATTAAGAGAATTTGAAGTTCAGTATCTTCCTAAATGTTACTTTACAAATGCATCAGTCAGTTCAGTTCAGTCGCTCAGTTGTGTCCGACTCTTTGCGACCCCATGAATCACAGCATGCCAGGCCTCCCTGTCCATCACCAACTCCCAGAATTTACTCAAACCCATCCAGCCATCTCATCCTCTGTCATCCCCTTCTCCTCCTGCCCCCAATCCTTCCCAGCATCAGGGTCTTTTCCAATGAGTCAACTCTTTGCATTAGGTGGCCAAAGTACTGGAGTTTCAGCTTCAGCATCAGTCCTTCCAATGAACACCCAGGACTGATCTCCTTTAGGATGGACTGATTGGATCTCCTTGCATTCCAAGGGACTCTCAAGAGTCTTCTCCAACACCACAGTTCAAAAGCATCAATTCTTCGGTGCTCAGCTTTCTTCACAGTCCAACTCTCACATCCATACATGACCACTGGAAAAACCATAGCCTTGACCAGACGGACATTTGTTGGCAAAGTAATGTCTCTGCTTTTTAATATGGTATCTAGGTTGGTCATAACTTTCCTTCCAAGGAGTAAGAGTCTTTTGATTTCATGGCTGCAATCACCATCTGCAGTGATTTTGGAGCCCAGAAAATTAAAGTCTGACACTGTTTCCACTGTCTCCCCATCTATTTCACATTGAGTGATGGGACCAGATGCCATGATATAAATAACCCTTATATGTGATGCCTAACACTGAATATTTTCCATAAGTGTTTATAAACAGGAAAAGCTGCGTCTGAGTCCTGGCTCATAGAACTGCACAATTAGTCAACCTCTTTCAGTTTCCTAATCTATAAAAGTAGACAATAATAATAGTAACTTCATTATGGATTTTTTATAAAACAAATGAAAAATTATATGAAAAATAGTGCCTGGTCCTAATATTTAGAGAACAATGAATAAATGCTTATTATTATTATTATTATTATTATTATTATTATTGCCTAATGGCTCAGACAGTAAAAAATCTGCTTGCAATGTAGGAAACCTGGGTCAATACCTGCACTGGGGGATCCCCTGGAGAAGGGCGTGGCAACCCACTTCAGTATTCTTGTTTGGAGAATCCCATGGACAAAGGAGCCTGGCGGGCTACAGTCCTTGGGGTCACAAAGAGTTGAACACAGACTGAACGCACACATTATTATTATTAATAGTAGTAGTATCAAATGTTGAATATTTAATCATATGGGGACATAGGCTTTTAAGTTTTTATTTTTAAAATTCAGGACAGTGTATAATTTCTTTTACTGTATTATTAGAAACAAAGAAACTTATTGTGACCATTAAAAACAGTTGCAACAATTTTTGTTTAATTTACACAGTTATTGAGACAGAGTATAATTGTGTTGATTTGAAGAAAAGCAGGTGAAAGTTAGCATATAAAGATGATTTAGAAGAAACAAAATCACATGTATGCGTAACATGAGAACAGTTCCAGCTGGGAGCTCTGTGATGACCTAGAGGGGTGGGATGGGGGCAGGGATGGGAGAGAGATCCAAGGTGGGAGATATATGTATGTGCATAGCTGATACACTTAGTTGAACAGCAGAAATGAACACAACAAAAGCAATTACATTCCGATCAAAAAAAAAAGAAAGAAAGGAAACAATTCCAATACACAGGGACCTAGAGAACATTCATAAAATGACAATGTGCGCACAGACAGCAATGGGATAAGGACACTATGGCAGAGCTGGGTCGGGAGGCTTCCCTTTTCCTGTGGGGCCTTCCGTGCCCACCAGCACCACGATGTCACCATAAAATGACATCTCATCAGGGTCCACACATCCTGAGATGACATGGATATATATATGTATATATAACTAGCAGAATCCTGACAACCCATGGAGCATGATAATAATATTTAAAATCATCTACAGCAGTCATGGTTCTGTTGTTTTATAAAAACTTACAAATCAGTGGTTTGTGTTGAATTCAAACAAGAAAAATCCAAAAGACCACCTCAGGCAAAGACTAAATAACCCTATCAAATTTGTTAAACTTTCCCATCTCTCCCAATCAAGTGGTGCCTCTGTGGGTTTATCCAAATTAATCTGGACTTTACCCCACTTGGGCTTCCCTGGTGGCTCAGCTGGCAAAGAATCTGCCTGCAATGCGGGAGACCTGGGTTCGATCCCTGGGTTGGGAAGATCCTCTGGAGGAGGGCATGGCAACCCACTCCAGTGTTCTTGCCTGGAGAATCCCATGGACAGAGGAGCCTGGCAGGGCTACAGTCCATGGGGTCACAAAGAGTCCAACACGACTGAGCATCTAAGCACAGCACAGTACCCCACTTATGGGTATAAACTGGGAGTTGAATTCTCCCTGTGACTATATGACAAACACATTAAATAATTTCTACATCATCACACATGGAGTGACAAGAAAAGATATCAAAAATTTCCCTGCATCCTTTGTTACACTGGAATAAATGCTTCATGTAACCAATGGAGTGTCTTTACTTGGATATGCAAACAAGTGAGAGAATTGACAGGTGTTCAGGAAGGAAGTGTTTGTGAAACTATGTTTTGCTGCCATCATTGTGCATAGTTGTACATGGAGGGAGTGGAAGAAAGACACACTCACTCCCAGGGAGAAGGCGTGTGTCCCTACTGACTGGTTTAACAGGGTCTGAGTGTGCTGATCGTAAAAAGCACAGTGACAGTTCAAGGGCTTCCTTTCTGTCCTGAATTCTGTCTCTCTACACAATATATACCTATCTCTATATACAGTGTATATATGTGTAATGCCTATACCCAAGACAAATCTTTTCTCCCCCTGCCTTCTTCAATTTGTGAGATGGAGCATTCTGTTGTCTTGATGGATTTTCCAGCAACCACTGGCCAACGCACTGTTCTCTGAGAATGTGATTTCAGCTTACAGTTGATACAGCAAACTCAAGTGACTGCAGTCTCAGAAACACGCCTTACTTGGGTTTTTCCTCCGCAGTGTTACAGTGTGCGTGACGAAGCCATGGAAATTCATGGCCAGACACTCATACTTCCACGTCAAATCCTCTTCTTTGACCTCCTCGATTTTTAAAACAGCTCTTCGGCAAGTCAGCTCACCACTAGGATTAAACAGCAGGCTGTTACTTCCAGTGCTTACTGTGCAGCTGCAAACCAGGGGGGAAGGTGGGGGCTGCTTTAACTGCCATTGAAAAATACCTTTGCGTGCGCTCCTGCATCACTTGTATTCTCGTTTCACCAAAGTTCTTAACCTCACTTCCGTTCACCCGCCAGAAGGCCTCAGCCATGACCTGATGGCCTTTCCCAAAGCAAGCCAAGCACGTTATGTTTGTTGGTTTTCCTAGATGAGAAGGAAAGAAACTCACCAATAAAATTCTGTTCAAATGGGATTTAATTTAAGGTGAAAAAAATTCACTGAACACCCTCTGTGTGCCATGAAAGAAAAGTGAAACTGTCACTAACTCGCATCTCTTTTTGACCCCATGGACTGCAGCCTGCCAGGCTCCTCTGTCCATGGAACTTTCCAGGCAAGAATACCGGAGTGGGCTGCCACTCCCTTCAGGGATCTTCCTGACCCAGGGAGCCAATCCTCGTCTCCTGCACTGCAGGCAGATACGTGGCCATAAACGGATCCCATTTCCCTTCTTCATCATCAGCACCTTCTTCTTTCTCTGCCCCCCTTTGCCTCCTCCTCTCCTCTCCCAGCATCCTCACTTCACTCACAGGTCAGGGTGAAGCTCAGCCCCCTCTCCCCTCTCCTTTCTTCCCTGCTTTGCAGCAGAAACTAAAGAGCCTTCACCAATGCCACCTTGTAATCTAAGATTTCCCTTTACTATACACTGAAATTTATCTTTTTTAATTGGGGTATAGCTGCTTTAAAAAAAAAAATGGGATAGAGTTGTTTGGGTTTCCCAGGTGGCTCAGTGGTAAAGAATCCTCCTGCCAATGCAGGAGACACAGGTCGATCCCTGGGTTGGGAAGATCTCCTTGAGAAGGGAAGGGCAACCCCCTCCAGCATTCTTGCCTAGGAGATCCCACGGACCAAGGAGCCTGGCAGGCTCCAGTTCATGGGGTTGAAAAGAGTGGGACACGACTGAGCACCTGAGCACACATAGTTGCTTCACAATGTTCTGTTAGTTCCTTCCGTGCAACATCACGAATTAGCTGTATGTATGCACATATCCCCTCCCTCTTGGACATCCACCCCTCCCCACCCTACCCCACCTCCATCCCAACCTTCCAGGTCGTCACAGAGCACCAAGCCCAGCTCCCTGCCCGACAGAGCAGGTTCCCACTAACTGTCTGATTCACACAGGGTAGTGTATATACGGCAGTCCCAATCTCCCGGTTCATGCCACCACCCCCACCATTTCCACACATCCATTCTCTACATCTGCATCTCTGTTCCTGCCCTGCAAACAGGTTCATCTGCCCTGTTTCTCTAGATTCCACATATATGCATTAATATACAATATTTGTTTTTCTCTTTCTGACTTTTTTCACTGTGTGGGGAATATTACTCAGCCATAAAAGGGAATGAAATTGGGTCATTTGCAATTTCTTTTTAATGGCTGTCTTCCACTCCTTTCTCATCCTACCAAATCCCCCTCCTTTCCCTGTTATTACCTTTGTAGGTAAAACCATTTCATCTGACTCAGCTACAATTCCATGATTTCTAACTATTCCACTATTTATTATCTTCTAACAAGAGCCTCTCTACTCTCCCTCCTGTTAATTTGAGACTTCCTCCTTCAGAGGAAAGACTTAAGGGCTGTTTCCTGCCTTAGGACAGTACATTCAGCTGTCCCCTACTGAGTTCATCATTCCTGGGTCAAGAATTAGGCATTACTGTCTGATTCACACAGGGTAGTGTATATACGGCAGTCCCAATCTCCCGGTTCATGCCACCACCCCCACCATTTCCACACATCCATTCTCTACATCTGCGTCTCTGTTCCTGCCCTGCAAACAGGTTGATCTGCCCTGTTTTTCTAGATTCCACATATATGCATTAATATATAATATTTGTTTTTCTCTTTCTGACTTTTTTCACTGTGTGGGGAATATTTCTCAGCCATAAAAGGGAATGAAATTGGGTCATTTGCAATTTCTTTTTAATGGCTGTCTTCCACTCCTTTCTCATCCTACCAAACCCCCTTCCTTTCCCTGTTATTACCTTTATAGGTAAAACCATTTCACCTGACTCAGCTACAACTCCATGATTTTTAACTATTCCACTATTTATTATCTTCTAACAAGAGCCTCTCTACTCTCCCTCCTGTTAATTTGAGACTTCCTCCTTCAGAGGAAGGACTTAAGGGCTGTTTCCTGCCTTAGGACTGTACATTCAGCTGTCCCCTACTGAGTTCATCATTCCTGGGTCGAGAATTAGGCATTCAGGGACTTCCCTGGTGGTCCAGTGGTTAAGAATTCTCCTTCCAGCGCAGGGGGTGTGAGGTCAATCCCTGGTCGGGGAGTTAAAGATCCCATATGCCTCACAGCCAAAAAGCCAAAACGTAAAACAGAAGCAATACTGTGACACATTCAGGAAAGACTTTAAAAATACTAAAAAAACAAACAAGAGGCATCTGAAGAGAGAAAAGGAGCTTAGAGTCTCCCAGGAGGTGACAACGGTATAATCTGTGATAATCGGAACACAAGGTACTCTAGTGTTCTTATAGAAAGATGGGACTTCCCAGGTGGCGCTAGTGGTAAAGAACCCGCCTGCCGGTGCAAGGAGATGTAAGAGATGTGGGTTGCGAGTTGGATCCCTGGGTTGGGAAGACACCCTGGAGAATTCTTGCCTGGAGAATCCCATGGACAGAGGAGCCTGGCAGCCTACAGTCCATGGGGTCCCAGAGAGTGGGACGTGACTGAAGTGACTTAGCACAGCACACATTGATCTGTCTAAGCCTAACCATCCACAAACATAAAGTAGGACAATATCTACCTCCTGGACAGAAGCAAGAGGGAAATGAGGCAACACGGGCAAAAGCACCAAAACACAAAAAGCAAAGCAGAGCACAGAACAAATGTAAGTAAGTGCTGTATATGGTGGTGAGCACATACCCCTGATACTAGAAAGTGCCCAAGACGGGTGTTTGCAAGTATATCTCACTCAATCCTCAAGACCTGCTATGGAGATAGCCTGACCCTGGGGTCACATGGAAGTTTTTCCAGGCAAACATTTTACAGTATTCTTATAGTTTTCTTACCAATTTCCACTTCCTTTATTTCATTTTGTGCAGGTGCTTTAATTTCAGGAGGCAAAGAAGAGTGCTGCTCCTCTGAAATTAAAGACAAAGACAGAATTTCAGTATTTGGAGAGCACTGACTAGCCGAAAATACAAAGCTTGTATTTTCATATTTCTGTCCTATTTCATAGCGACGTTTCTCACATCTTTCGAAAGTGATCCATGGCAACAAGCACACATGTATACACATATACCTGCACACACTTAAACAAAAACAGTCAAACAACACCTTTCTGCTACTAGCTATGTTGTTTTTTTGATATTTTCTCTTCTCTTTTTTTATTGTTATAACAAATATTATGCAAACCATTAAATGAATTGCATAATGTAGCAATTGCCAGAAAACCTCATTTCTATAGAATAGGCAGAACACTACAGGGAAGATTTTCAAAGGCCCATGAAAGTGATAAACACGTAAGTCTACACTTGTACTCACAGCCTTCCACCTGTGTGGCTCACCGTATCAGAAAGTTCAAATTCCTGTAGCATTGTTGCCTAGACATGGTAAAAGTATTCTCAGAGGTTATGTAAATAGAGAGAAACCTATTTAATCTCTAGTATAACTAACTGAATTAGAAATTAGTTCTAATGGAGCACAGATGCATTCCTGTACCCCTTGATTCTCACTTATTTCAGAGTGCTCTGATTAAGGACCTCTGTGGGATTTGATGTTGATCACTGAGAGATACTAACACAAATGTGGTCCAGTGGTGTTCATTTTACAGGGGTGGAGCACCGGAAAACTCCAGACAAAACTCTTGTCCACTATTGTTCTGCCCGTAGAAATGTGCCAGGCATATAGGTTTCATCTATACTCCCAGATCAAGCTATGTTGAGGAGACCCCAACTCTTTGTTGATCTTTCAGGTTTGATTGTGAAGACTTTCCCCTGATGGATTTTTATAGAATGTAAAGTGAGCTTGAAATAAAAATTAGAATTAAATGACCTACCTAAGGTTGTAGATGATGATGAAAGCCTTGCAAATCAAGATTGAAAACCACCCAATAATACCTATGTATCTCTTTATAAAGCTTCTCATTGTACTTCTAATCCATTTAGTTATATCAGAGAGTAAACAGATCTTGCTCTACTTACAGAAAGTCTGACAAGACATTGGGAGAAAGTAATCCTGCTCTTCAAATAGTTGAGCTGCTGTTCAAAAAAATGTTAGGTGATTGCATTACCTTTGAAAAATTAAAATATAGAGGAGAGAGCAGATGTGGCTTTGAATTATTAGTGTAATTTCGCCCCCTGCCCCCAAATGTGTTAAAACTTGATGGTGTATAATATAGAAAAGCTCTTTGCATCATATTAGAGAATGTGTAAGAAAAGATGAGCCAGGAGGAAGTTCAAGGAGGAGGATAAAATACAGGCAAGTCAACAAGAAGGACACAATTTCTCTAACTTTATCTTTTTTCAGTATTGCCCTTTGTTACATTTAGTAGCTCACCAGTAACTGTGAATGATCTGGTTGCTGTTACAATATATTTGACTCCATATTCGTTGTGCATAAATTTACATGTATAATCACCAGTGTCCTTGTCGGTTGCATTATGAATCAGCAAAAACGTCTTATGTGCCAGGTACCTTTGTCCTTGGAGAACTTCACAGTTCTGAAATGAAAGGTTCCAGTACACTTTTAGTAATTCTTTCACATCTATTTTGGTTGTGTATTTTCATCTATTTCCCTGCAAGTTTCTTTTTACCTTAAACCACTCAACAGGCTGTGTCCAATTGTAGCGGTCAATTGTAGGACAAAATATTAGGGACTTTTTTTCTGATCCAGATGTCGTTGAGTATATCAGATAATCTGGAATATTGCAATCTGATTGCTTTTCAAAAATGGTGACGTTCACATATCCAGTCTTATTGGAGGTAGGACTATTAAAATAAATCAAGCAATTTTTTAAAAGTCACTTAGCATTATGCAATAATTTAATCCAACTCTAACTTTTACTTGATATTATTTAGCATTATGAAATGATTTAATCCAACTCTTAATTCAGCAAGAATACTGCAGTGGATTGCCATTTCCTTCTCTAGAGGATCTTCCCAACCCAGGGATCAAAGCTGCGTCTCTTATCGGCAGGCAGGTTGTAATATCAGCATTATCAAATGACTTAATCTGACTCTAACTTTTAACTTAATACTAACATTATGAAATAATGCAACTCTAATTTTTCTTCCTAAAACAATTGATATAGAGTAGCTCTTATTTTAAAATAATCATTAAAATCTGAAGTTTTAATTGGTTTTATGGTTACATTTTAAATAAAACACAACCCCTTGCAGTTGCGGTTCAGTTGCTCAGTGTTGCAACCCCAGGGACTGTGTAGCCCACCAGGTTCCTCTATCCAGGGGGTCGTCCAGGCAAAAATACTGGAGCAGGTTGCCATTTCCTTCTCCAGCAGATCTTCCTAGATGAACACACATCTCCTGTATTGGCAGGCAGATTCTTTACCACTGAGACACCAAGGAAGCTTAAAACATAACCCCTACTGTAGCCTTAAAAACAACTCCCTCACCATTTCTCTATATACTATATGTGCCGTCACACCAACACCTGATATAATAATGAAATTAATTAGTATCTCTTAGGAGTTTCTTTCCTATGTACCATTTATTAAGGTGGTAACATTACCTCGTTTTGTGCTCATAACGGCCTCTGAAGTGGGTTCTGTTATCACGTGTATTTGACAGATGAGGGAACAGAGAAGGAGCAGTGACTTAACAACAGCACAGAGATAAGTGGTGAGGACCATGGACTCAAAACTAACACCATCTGACCTCAGAGCCCAGGCGCTGAGCTAGAGCAACTTGCCTTTTGACATGGTTGGTCTCCTCACTTATATTTACCAACCAGGCACAAAATCACATTTGTGACAATTTACTTGTAGAGTAATGCACTCGGGCTTGCCCCTCAGGTGGAAGGCCCAGGTGCCCACCCTTTTACATTCATCACAAGCCTAACCTGGATGTCATACATCTCGGTCACTGCTTTGTATACTGGGTTGTTCTTATTTGCAACTCAGAGTGAGCGAGTGCTCTCAGCTTCACAGTCACTAGAAAAACCTGGTCTGTTTCTAACTGGGCTACAAGTTAAGCCCTGCAATTATACATCCAAATAGCTCACCAGGGGCTTCCCTGGTGGTCCAGTGGTTAAGACTCTATGAATCCACTGCAGGGGGCACACCCCAAACAGAGCTCAATCTCTGTTCGGGGAACTAAAATACTGCATACTTTGCAGTGCCTCCAAGTAATAATAACAAATAGTTTACCACCACCTGAACTTCACCATGAGGACATTCCTAGAAGTTGCTCTTTTATTCAGATTACTTCATAAATTTGACTGTTCCAGAGAGGTCTAGAGAGGGAAGAGAAGTGAGGCGGCTCAGAATATTAGCTGTTAAAGACAAAGGAGCAGGCCTGGATAATACCGTCTGACAATGCAGGTATAAAATCCGGAGTCGTTGACTTTGGCAGGGAGGAACTTGAGACACTTCCCTGAGGCAACTATTCGATTTCCTCTCTGGGTAGTAATACTTTTGTTGGTTTTTGAGTAATACCAGTCCACAGGGTGTGGAGATTTTTCTTGTCTGGGACATGTCACAATTAAAGCCTCATTTTCCAGGCCCAAAAATGATCTGCCTGCATTAAAAAAACAAACAAACACATAAATTTCTTGAAGTGATCATATGAAAAGATTACAGTTTTGGTATTCTAAATATCCCCTTCTAAGTTTCCCCAGTGGCTTGGTGCTAAAGAACCTGCCTGCCAATGCAGGAGACTCAGGTTCAATCCCTGGATCAGAAAGATCCCCTGCAGTAGGAAATGGCAACTTGCTCCAATATTCTTGACTGGGAAATCTCTTGGACAGAGGAGCCTGGCAGGCTACAATCTATGGGGTTGCACAGAGTTGGACATGACTTAACGATTAAACAACAGCAAGATTAAATTGAGAAAGCTGTCATACTCTGTGATACTTTGAGAAAGAATAAGTAAATCATCTAGGCTCTTTTATGAAATATTCTAATGGGTACACTGGAGAAGGAAATGGCAACCCATTCCAGTATTCTTGCCTGGAAAATTCCACGGACAGAGGAACCTGACAGGCTACAGTCCGTGGGATTGCAGAGTTGGACACAACTGAGCGACTAACAGTGGGTACATAAATTAGTGGTTTAACCTTGACCTTGATCCTCCACATTGCTCCAAAGAAAAGCAGCGAAGTTCACCTACACAAAGCAAGTTGTTGAGTCAACAAACCCTGACCATACCTTCTATATGCAGGCACCATGTTACATTTTGATGTATTTGAATGCATTAAATCAAAATGATGTTGTATTTGTTATAAAAAATTTGTCCCCATAAAGGGGACAAATGAAGAACTGCTGATGAAGAATAACTCTAGGGACTTCCCTGGTGGTGCAGTGGATAAGAATCCCCCTGCTAATGCAGAGGACACACGTTCGATCCCTGGTCTGGTAATATCCCACATGCCACAGGGCATCTGAGCCCATGACCCACAGTGAAGCGTAGCCCCTGGTCCCCGCAACTACAGAAAGCCTGTGTGCAGCAACAAGGACCCAGAGCAAGCAAAAATAAGTAATAAATGGATTTTTAAAAAAGAATAACTGTAGAGCATAAATGAACTCTCCACACTGCCATTCAGCTAGAGCAATTGGATAGCAAGGCACATGTTCTTGTAATTACTTAATTAAAATTGTTTTAAATCTCATTTCAAAAGCAATACTTACTAAACTTAGCTGATGTGGAAGATATCAGAGCTGTTAGAATTACTGAGACCCAAAGTCTCATTCTCAGTTTCTCAAGTGAGAGCAGATGTTGAGAACCGATTCTCAAGCTGATTCAGGTTGAGTTTGTGACATCCAATGGCAAAGCTCCCACCTAGGAGATTGATGGTATTCCCTAAGATAGATAGTTGCAAAGAACTGTCAGTATCTCTACCAAAAAAATAAATCATGTGAAATCACAAGCAAGCAATTATCCGCCAATTAAAAATAAATTAATTAAAAAACCAATTATTCTCCAATTAAAAATAATTTTTAAAAATCACAAGCAAAATATTTACAGCCATGATTTTGACTTGCTTAATACCCCTGCCCCCTGCAAGGAGCATTCATCCTTAGCAGATCTTTAGTATACAAGCTGACTTCAGACGCACATTATTGAATACTGGACATTGGTGCCATGCAGACCTTATGATGGCCGGGTTGTTTCACTGTCTCGTGAATGAAGCTAAATTAAGAGGAAAGAAAATAAGTTTCTATTTTTGGGAAAAAAGAAAATCATAAAATTAAGAGACCCTAGACAACACAGTATTATAAATGCTGACATAAAACCACAAACATCCACACAGGCTGGTAACTGTTGTGCGGTCACATGATCCCCTTCTTCCCCCAAGAACACAGGGAAGCTGTCATCCCATATTTCCTAAGGATAATAAGAAAGAGATGGGTAAAATGGCCATCAAATTATTGCCCTAGACATTATACCAAACCCTGAAAAATATGTCTCTCATCCTGTTTGTCCCCAAGATCCACCAAAGGCTTTCTAAGATAAGTTGAAGGTCTACGAAAAACAATTGCATTTTTTTTTCTTTCAACAAAAGGATAACAGCTATATATTTTTTTTTCTTAAAAAATATTTTTTTCTTAAAAAGTCAGAGGAAGGATGGAACCAATAAAGAAACTGACAAATACAACTACAATAACCCTTAATATATTTCAGGATAGCACATTTCCTCTAAGCATTAATTGTTGGTACTTTTCTCATTACTTGTATGGAAACGTTTTTACTATGAAATTTAGTTAAGTAAGGGATGCTTACCCAAAGTGAAGGGCAGAAGCAAAGAACTTCAAGTCAGTGACTGAGCCGTGAAGACTTTCCAGTTCTTTCGGCTTCTTCCTTACGGACTGACTCCACACACACACAAATTCCCTCTTTTATTTTAAAGGGGAGATAAGAGACATCCTTCCACATACCCACTCCACCCACCCTAAATTTTCACCTTAAGCCAAAATCCATGACTCGTTCAAAAGTGCTGGTTCACTGTATACCAAGAACTCTTGACCCTGGTATGCAAATATTTAAGGACAACAGTGAATAATCCCTTGGAAGAAGTAATCAAATCTTATCTGTTTTAGCATCAGTTACTCAAGGTAATGCTTGGTGTTTGTGACTCCGATATTACTACACTTCAAGTTCCAAATGATCTGGAAATCCGGGAACCCTACAACTGCCCATCCAAATACTTTTTGATATTTCATTTGGCAGACTCTAGTGAGGAAGGCTCAGCCAGTTATAACAGCTTTGGTTCTGAGAGAGTTTCAAAAGCAAATGGGGGCAAGAGATGAGAAGTGAACAGACTCTAAGGAATTTTGCAAATGTACTATTTAAGGTCCAGAACTAACATAGTCTCATCCAAACACAGATTCCAGATTCTCAGATTCAAGTCCCTACAGGCTCTTAGACAGGAAAGGCAGGTTTTTCTAAAGAATTCATAGAAATAGAGGGACGTCATAAGACTGCCTTACAGGGAATGACATGGAAAACCATAAGCCTCAACTCTTGGGTTCCATATCAAACAAATGTTAGCTGCACATTTGCCTTTAGCTCCACACAGCTGGTGTGACTCAGTCATGAGTAAATTTGACTTACTTTCAAATCTCACCACACCCCAGAAGGATTCTGGGGCTGATTCCAGACTAGCACTGTAATATAATAACCAAAGCTAAGGCTTCTCTAGAATTCACTGCGTGTCACATACAGTTCTCAATGACTTCCATGTGTTAGCCCCTTCATTCTCACAACCACCCCGTGAAGCAGGCACTATTATTGTTACAGTTGTTTTACAGACAAGGACACTGAGACAGCAGGTGTTAGTTGCTCAGTCGCGTCCTACTCTTTGTAACCTCATAGACTGTAGCCCACCAGGCTCCTCCATCCATGGGATTATCCAGGCAAGCATACTGGAGTGAGTTGCTATTCCCTCATCCAGGGGATCTTCCCAACCCAGGGACCAAAGCTGGGTCTCCGGCATCACAGGCAGATTCTTTACTGTCTGATCCACCAGGGAAGCCTTGAGACACCAAGAGGGTAAGCAAATGGTACCAGTTATGTTATGCTAAGAGATGGAGCCAGAATTTGAACCCAAGTAGGTTGGCTCCAAAGGCTAGATTCCTAACTATTTTAGATTCTGTACTATTTTGCTATGATATGATGAAGGTTAAAAGAGGAGGTGCTGCCCAAGAAAAGTTTCAGTGGATTTTTGGAGCCCATTGACACCACCACCACTCCCCGCCCTGCTCCCCTGTGGCTGGCAGTGTTTCTGAGGCAGGCGTCTCCTTCTGCACCAATATCAGTCATGTGGTCTCAGAGGGAGAGATGAAAAGTCTTGTCACTGCTGGGAGATTCACCACAAGATGCTGGCATCACTTCAAGGAATTAGATCCGCTTGCCACTATTCTTGACTTAGCTGTTAAGACCATATCGGTTTTGGCATGAGAATCTGCTCCACAGAATCAGGAGAAGGCAAGCTTGTAACAGCGCCCAGGACACTGTAACCTCTAGGTATCATTTTGACAAACAAAATAATACTACCTTAAACATGCTTACATTTGAATACAAACTTACATTTTGTATCCTAAAATATCTTAAAATTTTTAAATTAAGTTTAGGCATTTATTCCTTCAGACTAGGCCATAGTTATCTTGGTTTCCTAGTTTTCAATAAGGCTTCAGTTAGAGTTTTAATAGCATACCCATGATATCTTGCAGAAGCATTTAATAAAGTCTAGCTATTGTGATAAATAAAAGCTATCACTATAAAATAATTCAATTATTCAACAATTAAGTCCTTGCATTGAAAGTACAATATTGCATAGTACTTATCATCAGCAGCATTCAAATTTTACAGATTAAAATAAAAACCCAAGGATGAGACTGGTTAAATAATTTGACCAAGCTCACACAGTTGCGGCTGGGGTTGAAATCAGACTTGCTGAACCTCAAAGACACGTCTTTTTTGCCCCTAACCTCAACTAAAAAGAGAGATTACAGTGGTAAATCTTTCCTTCTTATGATTGAGACAGGGAGATGAAATAAAATAAATAGCCCTAATTTCCTTTAAGCCCATTTTCTATAGAGAACTAAGCCATTTTGGCCTCTAACTACTATGATACCATCCAGTGTAAAAGTATAGTAGTTTATAATAACTCAGCAAGACAAAACATGAAAGGCAAGAGCTTCCAATAAATAACTAAATCCAAGATATTGCACAGCCATGAATTCTGCCAAGTTAAGCAGAAATCTTCCAATGCCTGCTGACTGCAAGGGCAGATTATCCTCTTTTTAAGAATTCTCAGAATTACTCTTCATTTTCAGAATTCAGTTCAGTTCAGTTCAGTCGCTCAGTTGTGTCCAACTTTTTGCGACCCCATGAATCGCAGCACGCCAGGCACCCCTGTCCATCACCAACTCCCGGAGTTTACTCAAACTCATGCCCATCGAGTCGGTGATGCCATCCAGCCATCTCATCCTCTGTCGTCCCCTTCTCCTCCTGCCCCCAACCCCTCCCAGCATCAGGGTCTTTCCCAATGAGTCAGCTCTTTGCATAAGGTGGCCAAAGTATTGGAGTTTCAGCTTCAGCCTCAGTCCTTCCAATGAACACCCAGGACTAATCTCCTTTAGGATTTTCAGAATTAATCTAATTTGGCCATGGGGTGCTTCCCAGGTGATGCTAGTGGTAAAGAACCCTGCAAGAGTCTCGGGTTCTATCCCTGGGTCAAGGAAGATCCCCTGGAGGAGGGTTTGGCAACCAAGCCAGTATTCTTGCCTAGAGAATCCCATGGACAGAGGAGCCTGGCGGGCTATGGTCCATAGTGTCACAAAGAGTTGGACATGACTGAAGCGACTTTGCACAAAATTTAGCCATATATTTTTTCTGCCTATTACTAAGGTGGAGTCTGGACATGGGACAGGGTTTGGAGTGAGAGTCCCTCAGTATGGGACGTATACAACCAGGTATACCTCTTAGATATACAGCTGGAGATGTCAAGGCATCAATGAGCTATTTGCTGCTGAAGTTCAGGAGACACATGTACGTTAGAGACCTACATCCAGATATATATAAATTTGGCATACATGAGTGTATAGATGAAATTAAACCCACTAGACTGGAGGAGATCTTCCAGAGTGCAAGCAGATAGACCTTGAAGCTACACAAGAGAAAAGCTGCTCACCTTCCCTGGAAAGTTTCCCTGGAGAGAGGTATTCATCTTTGCTTCACAGATCAGTTTGAACCTCTGGGTGTAAATCACTGCAGAAGTATTGAGAATTTTGCTCTTGTTAGTCACTGAGTCATGTCTCTCTTTGAGACCCCATGGACTGTAGCCCGCCAGGCTCCTCTGTCCGTGAGTTTCTCCAAGCAAGAATACTGGAGTGGTTTGCCATTTCCTTCTCCTGGGGATCTTCCTGACCCTGGGATTGAACCCAGTTTCCTGCATTGTCAGGTGGATTCTTTACCACTGAGCCACTTGGGAAGCCCCATCTTTCTCCATACTCACAAAAAACTGGAAAGTGTGGAAGGACAAGCAGAGAAATATAGACCCTCATAATCATAGGACAAATATTTTGAAGGACGTAGATGAAGAGTTCTCCTATTGGAAAAGCAGAAATCTGAAAACCAAAGACGTCCCCGAACTTTTTGAGCTACTAGCCCACATATCCAAATATAGAAGGATCAAGCGCTTCTCACCTACACATGCTGTTCAAGAGCAGAGAGAACTCTCCTTCCTGTTGGGGATTCTGTGATTCAAATCAGCAGCCACAGGGGGCCACCAGTAGGGCACAGAGGTCAACGTTCCCAAAGTAGGAAAAATAAGAAAATAATGATGATGAGGAGGACTGACATTATTAAGCATCTGATGTTAGCTTGGTGGTGGTTTAATCACTAAGTCGTGTCTAACTCTTGCGACACTATGGACTGTAGACCTCCAGGCTCCTCTGTCCATGGGATTTTCTGGGCAAGAATACTGAAATGGGTTGTCATTTCCTTCTCCAGGGGATCTTCCTGACCCAGGGATCAAACCTGGCTTTCCTGCATTGCAGGCAGATTCTATTTCATCTTTAGACACCACCCTCTGAGCCTGACGTTAGTACTAACATGCTGGCTTTATAAGTCAACAGTACAAGAATTAAAGAGGTTAGATGAAAGGTCTAGAGTCATCAGTAAGAGCAAGAGCAGGGATTAAATGTGGTTCTGTGGGTGTTGGAGCTTTCTCTCAAAGACTAGCAGGAATGGCATGACAAGGTCCACATTGAGACTTTGGGGGCAATGACACATGAATATGTCATTGAATATGGCACATAAATATGCATACCTCCCTCTTCTCCTGTGGGTACAGCTTTAGGGACCAGCTCTGCCATAATTTGACCCTGCATGCTTTGTTGAGAGCCCTTCAGAGAGGAGAGGAACGGAGCCATCAACCAGAGGTGCCCATGACAGACATGGATTTGAGTCGGTTATTCCTCCCTACCCACCACTCCCCTCAAAAGACGGGCCACCAGCAGCCCTCCTCCTGAAACACATCACTCTCTTTTGCTATTCTATTTCCTTCTCCCCTTCCACACACCACATTCCTCTCCACCTCCCCACCCTCCGCCACCCAGGAGCTCCTTTCTTCCCAAGCTTTTTTTTCCTCCTCCACCATCTGAGCAGATTCCATTTCTGAATTTCAGCAGATTCCAGCAAGAACAATTCTGGAATATGAGCACTCTGCACGTACTATATACCACAAGACCCCCCTCCCAAGTCCACCCCCCTCCATTTCTTTTCTAGTACAGCAGGCCAATGGGCTTCCCATTTGGTGTTAGCAGTAAAGAACCCACCTGCCAATGCAGGCAATGTAAGAGATGTGGGTTCGATCCCTGGGTCAGGAAGATCCCCTGGAGGAGGGCATAGCAACCCAATCCTGTATTCTTTCCTGGAGAATCCCATGGACAGAGGAGCCTGGCGGGCTACAGTCAGTAAAACCTCACAAAGAGTCGGACATGACTGAAGCAACTTAGCACGCACCTGAGGCCAAAGTTCCATGTAATACAAACAAGACTTTAAGGGACTTCATCACTTTGTACCTTGGTTTTCCCATTGGTAAGACTACCTTTCTCAAAGACAGAAAATCAAGGGCAATGATTATTTTCAACCCAAATTTTTGTTTTCAAATTCCATTCCCTTTGAGATCAAAGCATTTTTGAAAAACGCCCCAAGGAAAGACACTTACCATCCGGCTGGTGAGCTCTTTCTCCCTCAGCTTCCTACCAGCAGAGTTTGCTAACTCGAAAGACCAATTCTCTAACAGCTCTGTGCTTCATGTGACAGCCACATTTCTTTTGAAGCCTTCCTTTGTCCTTATCAGTTAAGAAACAGGAACCAGGTTGCTGATGAGCTGCTCTGTTAAAAAATACTGACTTCAGTTTGTACCATGTTCTCTATTTGAAAGATCTCTGATGAAGCTGTACTTTCCACTGTGACGGTAGCTCTGCAGTTGGTCACGTTTCCTCTTAGCTCTATTTTGCCTTCCTTGTAGCTGACTTTTTCAGCAAAGCCTCCTGACATGATCTAGGTGGCAGGTCACTCAGTGCCCCTACAGTGAGTTGGCAGCTGAAACTATGGCTCTGAGTACAACAGTGTACATCTATGCAGGAGGTTCTACTGTTGATGCCATGATGTCTATGTTTTGAAAGCTCTGATACGATTGGGTGCCTAGGCATGAACCAGGCTCTGTGCCCAGGGATCTCTACACACGCTGACCCCTGCACTCCTCAGAGGCTTAGTGGATGCTCAGAGGGGCTAATCAGTTACCCTACTTAGGGCAACAGCCAAAATCCAAAGCCTCTGTAACTGGACTCTTTCCATGAGAATTCCGAATAAACTGACTTTAATCATCTATGTGATTTTATTATTATTACTAGTATATACATTTGGCTGTGCTGGGTCTTTATTGCTACTTGGGCACTTCTCTAGTTGCGGTGAGCAGGGGCTCCTCCCTAGTTGCAGTGCTCAGGCTTCTCATCGCGGCGGCTTCTCTAGTTATGGAGCGCGGGCCCTAGGACACATGGGCTTCAGTAGTTTCAGCTCCCGGGATCTAGAGCACAGGTTCGATATTTGTGGCCCAGGAGCTTAGTTGCTCTGGAGAATGTGGCATCTTCCCGGGCCAGGGATAGTACCAGTGTCCCCTCATTGCAATGTGGACCCCTAGCCTCTAGATACCAGGGAAGCCCCAGTGTGATTCTTTTTCTTACAGCCCATGGAGTTCTCCAGGCCAGAATACTGGAGTGAGTAGCCTTTCCCTTCTCCGTTCAAACTGTTGGTGACTTGCAAATGATCAGGATGATCTCCCTAGGACTCTCTAATACAGTAGAAAGAGCAGGAGCTTTAGATCCAGAGGGTTTTGCTCTCACTGCCTGCGTCACTTTGGGCAAACTTCCATCCTAAGTCTCAGTGCAAGTGGGTATAGTTATCAGTTGTTATTTAGTCACTAAGTTGTGTCTGACTCTTTGTGATCCCATGGACTGCAGCCCTCCAGGCTTTCCTGGCCTTCACTATCTCCCGGAGTGTGCTCAAATTCATGTCTATTCAGTTGGTGATGTTATCTAACCATCTCATCCTCTGTCATCGCCTTCTCCTCCTGCCCTCAGTCTTTCCCAGCATCAGGATCTTTTCTAATGAGTTGTCTCTTCATATCAGGTGACCAAAGTATTGGAGCTTCATCTTCAGCATCAGTCCTTGCAATGAATATTCAAGGCTAATTACCTTTAGGCTTGACAAGTGTCAATAGTAAACGAATAATCTATGTAAGGGGTCAGCCACATTAATGAACACTGGGGGCTTTCTCCCATATAATTAACCCACCAAAATTTTGCTAATAAAACTTCAGTTTTTTTTCAAGTTTCCTTCAAGACCCCAGTCTCACCAAAGGAATCACATCTTCTTTTCTTCTTCCCTATGATCACCGTACATAAAAGATGAAAATCTACCACAGAATCCAGTTATTTACTGCACAGTCTTTATATGGAGCCCACTTTTTAAAGAATTTTTATCGGAGTATAGCTGCTTTATAATCTTGCATAGTTTCTACTGTGTAACAAAGTGAATCAGCTATACATATATATATACATCCATTCTTTTGGGGATTTCCTTCCAAATCATTTAGATCACTACAGAGCCCTGAATAGAGTTCCCTGTGCCGTACAGTAGGTTCTCATGAGTTACTAATTTTACACATGCTATCAGTAGTGTATTTCTGTCAATTCCAACCTCCCAATTCATCCTACCCTCCATTCCCCCCAGGTGTCCATGCATTTATTCTCTATGACTGTGTCATACAGAGTGAAGGGAATCAGAAAGACAGAAACAAGTATAGCATATTAATGTATGTATATACACATATACCGGGTTTAGAAAAATGGCACAGAGAAATCTACTTTTACACAGAGTCATTTATCACTTCTTCATAGCTAGAGATTTAGGGAAAAGGCATCTAAGCAAGAAACCAAGCAGTATTTATTGAAGTGCCCAGTGTTGTGTGGGGGCATTGTGAGAGATTTGAGGTCAGGATGAAACTCATTCCTCATCTCAAGGAACTTAATCTTTATCCCAAACAGGAGGATGAGGGGAAGGTGCATGCATGCATGCTAAGTTGCTTCAGTCATGTCTGACTCTTTGCAACCCCATGGACTGTAGCCCGCCAGGCTACTCTGTCCATGGGATTCTCCAGGCAAGAACACCGGCATGGGTTGCCATGCCCTCCTCCAGGGGAATCTTCCTGACCCAGGGGTAGAACCCGAGTCTCTTATGTTTCCTGCACTGGCAGGCAGTTTCTCTACCTCTAGCACCATCTGAGGGGAAGGCAGCATTTTACAAACCCCAAAAAATTTGATTTTAAATTAGAAATTTGCAACAGTCTGGATGTTTTTAAAAATTAGAGCAGGTCATAGATAGAGGAGCCTGGCAAGCTACAGTCCCTGGAGCCAGACACGACTGAGTGACTAAGCACAGTGCAGTACATTGAGAAACTATGACATGGTCTTTGTTCAAGAGTGGAGTTTCAAAAAACCTTTCTGGCATAGTGAAGTTATGGTTTGCCTGAAATCTGGATCTCTCTATATCCCTTATCATCGTATGAATGTTAAGACAGCAGAACAATGCCTAGAAACAGTGGCCAACTCTGTTGTGGAATGTCTTTCAAAGAACTTCTCAGCACTGGCGCTGACCTACTTGACTGCTATCAGGATGATTAACGGCATCTTCAACGTTTCCATTACCAGCTCAAGACATTTTGTAAAGTTCAGGGGAAGCCAACATCTATCAAGGCCCATCAGGTTTTGTAAGAAGGAAGGAAACATTTGATGGAAGATAGAGGGGCCTCAGCAGCTGTGAGTAGCTTCAGGAGGTTTCTTTTTCTCTATCTGCAAGGTCTCTGCAGAATGTAGAATACAGAGACACTTGCTGATGTACCCAACTGTCAGGGAGAGACTGGGTAAGCCTGGGAGGGGCCACAGACTGCTTCCTTGAGGATCCCACCCCCCCAGACCTGAAGACCTGACTTGGCACCTCAGGCCACAGCCTCTAAAAATGACTGCACCCCCTGGAGGTGAGTCTCCTAAACAAAAGTGCCCCAGAACTGATGGAAGGTTGTGCTTCTCTAAGGGGGGCACAAGGCATCTTGATGATTCACCATTCAATGATGTGAAGGGAAATTGGCCAAGTTTTCACTTGAAATGAGAAAAGACTGGTGCGGCCGGAAGAGCCGAAAAGTGTTTGTTGTGTGTGTGTGTGCGCGCACACACATGTGCAAGAGCTTATTTATGTTTGCATGTGGATTTTGTCCACATGGACATGACATCTTAGCTCTTTACCCAAACCAAAAGGAGCTTTTAAACTTCAAAACTCAGAGCTTCCCTGATGGATCAGCGGTAAAGGACCTGGCTGACATTGCAGGAGACACAGTTCGATCCCTGGTCTGGGAAGATCCCACATGCCACAGAGCAATGAAGCCTGTGTGCCACAACTATTAAGCCTGTGCTCTAGAGCTGGGAAACCACAACTACTGAACCTACATGCTGCAACTACTGACATCCTCATGACTGAGTGACTCAGCACACATGCGCATACACCACCTGGGAGAAATATCTGATCTGAAAAATTACATTTTTTTACATTCTCTCTTTCTCTCTCTCCTTCTCCCTGTCTCTCCCCACGTCTCTCTCCCCTCCCCTCCCCACCACGCACAGACAGACACACATATACTCATATATTCTTCTTCTCCAAAAAAACCAAACAACAACAAAAGGACTGAAAATGTTTACCCAATGGCTTTTATAAAAGATGTTTGTCTCTCTCCACATTTTAACAAGGTTCAGTGTTCACATGTCCCCTGCCACACTTGAGACATTTAAACTGGAGGATGAGCAGCTGAGTAGCTCTAAATTGTGAGGTCCCAATAAAAAAGTCCCTTCAGTCCGTGTAACAGCCAGGCTCCAGGAGGGCCCCCAACGACCCCTTCCTCCTATTGCTCGCACCCTTGCAGAGTCCCCTCATACTGTCACTGTGACCAACAAAACACAGGGTAAGCCATCGCATGCACCTCCAAGATTAGGTCATGAAGAGCACGTGGCTACCATCTTGCTTCTCTCTCTGGACTCGCTGTGTCTCAGAGAAGCCACATGTGGAACCTCCCCATGCGTGTTCCACAGGGAGAGGAACCAGAGCTTCATGCCAATGGCCCACATGAGTGACCTGGAGGGGGGTCTTCCAGCTGCAGTAAATCTTCTGGCCCACAGGCTGACCACTCCTTTATGGACCACTGTGAAGTAGGACCACCCAGCTCAGTCACTCTCAGATCCCTGACCCACAAAAGGTACGTGAGACAAGAAATATGCATTGTTTAGGCTACCCAATTTTAGAGTCATTTGTTACACAGAAATAGGTAACTTACAGTGGACAATGACGTGTCAATCACTATTTTCCTTGTAAATCTATCAACAGGCAGGTAGAAGTCAGGGGTCCTTGCTAGTATGAAATGACTTTCATTTAAAAATTCAATTTCTCCTGAGTGAAGTCAGACAGAGAAGGTGAAATATCATATGGCATCCCTAATATGTGGAATCGGAAAAGAAATGATACAACTGAACTTATTTACGAAACAGAAAAAGACTCACAGACTTAGAGAACATTCTTACAGCTTCTGGGGGGGAGGGGAGGGCAAGGGGATTGCTAGTTTGGGATGGACATGGACACCTGCTGTATCTAAGATGGATAATCAACAAGGACCTACAGTATAACACAGGGA